GCAATTAGGTGACCCATATCTGGGAAGCTCGTCCACTTTGACTCTGGTTCCGAACCGCTCAAGCAAGGAACAAGTGACTCATAAACTGCATCAATTTTTTTTCCGTACAACCGCATGTATGATTTATTATGTGTTTTTGACTCTTGGATAAGTTGATGATGGAGTAACGCCTGACTATCTTCTCCTTTACCAAGTAAAGTCGAAACGGCTCAGTAACCGCAATTAATGTCTCCCTTAACATTGACAATACGATTGATATATTTTTGTATAAAAACCGACATCTTGTCAATGAATGGAATCTTTGGCAAAAGCAACGTCAAAGGTGGTTTGCTAATTCGAGCTCCTTTCACAACATTTTTTTTGAGATTTTGGAGTAGGTGAATCGGAAAATACTTTGTCAACATGTTCAAAGTATGAAGGAGACCGTGTGGTCGAGTTATCATTCGGTGTAGGCTTCAATTTCTTCGGAGCACCTTTTGTTTTCACCGGTTGAGAAGGCGGTTTCATGTCGGTGGTTTCGAGATATGCAATCTTCATCAATTGTTCTTTGATTTTGAGTTTCATGTTGTCGCCAACCTTCGAAAATCTCTCTTGTATCACTTCCCATTCAGTCAAAATAAAGATATTCGATTTACCTTTATCCATGCATCCATCATCATCAAATCTAAGTCTCTTCCAATGAGAGCAAGCCTTATCCATTCTTATTGGTTCACTAAGTTTCACTTTTTTAGCAATAACACAAGCACATGGGAGACCATATGTTTTCACAATAGTGCAACCATACTTTGCACTATCAGAGCCTACATTATCAGCTCGTTTGGCCTAATGAAAAATATAGTTCGACCCCGCTCGAGAAATGTTGCCTACCAAATGAGAATAAAGAATGTTGTCATTGAATCAGTGTTCTAAAATTGTGATGCTCTGACCAAATGTTGTTTGTATCTCATTATGTTGGTTTTGAATAATGTGGTTCACCGAGTCCCAATCTCAACACAAATCCCCTTTGCTATTTCCTAACCAATTTTTCAAAGTAGCATGGGCCGACTCAACTCTACTACTGGTTGTATTTTTAAGGCGTCGGACATTATCAGTCCATGCACAAACTATCTTCTCCTTCGCCTAATCAAGAATGGTGCTTTCAACAAAGCTGAATACTTTTCACAGTTTCTGAAAATGAATGACGAAATCGGCATACAATTCTTTTGTGGAAGAATTTACAATGCGATTCCATGCATCCGTAATTTTCTCCATAATCACACCCGACTTCACCAATTTTCCACATTCAGACTCTAATTGTTTCGTTCCTACCGCGGGTTTGACCCGACTTATCACATTCTTTGTTATGTGATACTTACAAATTAATGAATAAGAATAAGGAAACACCTTTACAACCGCATTCATCAATGCGATTTTGCGGTCCATAACAATAGCTTTAAGCATCTCACATTGATCCTTCAAAAGTGACTGACACACATCTAATACCCAAGTAAAATTGTCTTCTTTTTCACACTCTAAAAATGTAAAACCAACAGAGTATGTCTTCTCAGTTGAGGTAACATCAACCATCTCAAATAATGGAAGTCTATACTTATTGGTCTTGTAGGTAGAATCAAGTCTGAGCACTGTTGGAAACGTGTTGAACAACTTTATCGAATCCGGATGAGTCCAAAAAATATCTATAACCGTAACTTCATCATTGCAAGTTCGGTACCAAGATATGTAACTATTATCCTCCAACAATTTTATCAGTTGTTGCATCTCAGTTCTATCTCCCCTAATCGCCTTGTTAGTGAGGTACCAAATGTTACACACTTGCTTGATGTTTGATATATTATCGATTTGCTTCCGTTTCAATGTTGCAAGTATATTTTTCGATTGGACAAGATTCAAGGTCATGTCACTAATACATATCTTCTCTTCCAGCTTTAGTCGATATACACTAGGATATTCGGCTAATTTTAAGAACAATTCATGGTTATGCACACCATAAATGACATTAAATCTCCACTTTTTGCTAGCCAACATGTAACCACGAAGCTTAAACAAACACTCACATTTTCTACTACCTGTGTCTTCTCTCTTAAAATTCTGGAGAAGTGTTCGGTATTTCCCGCTTCTTTCGTACAACATAGTCCCAAAGGTGCTTCTTCTATCCGAGTCATTTTCTGAGTCTAGATGCTACCATACGAATCCATTTGAGCATGTTATCACGATTTTCAAACTCTTGCTTGTTATTAAATTCGTCACAAACATCTACCACCTTAACAATAACCCTTTGAACATTCAGATAAACATCGTTCGTAGAAACTACTTATTTTGAGATATTATCAGGGTGAACCATATCTATTGGAAACACTAAAAAAATAGTCTACTGCTGCAGAAAAGGATGAAAGATGAACATATAAATATTTCGGAAATGCATTTCCAAAAAAGTTCATGTTAAACACGTTCCGGAGATACATCTTTGGACACTGCATACGTTTTTTTCCAGAAATTTTCATGATTAATCTAAGCAACGTAGATGGAAATGAACAATCTTTACCTGAAATTCGGTCTTCTTTTGCTCCTTGTGATATGTTGACCCAAAATAATGGAGATTTGGAGTGAAAATGGAATTAAGAATGTAGGGTTTTTAGGGGTGAGGGTTTAATTTGAAATAGAAGTATGGAAACAATGGGGACTGCTCATGCTGCTGGAAAATATATTAGATACTCCCAGAGATATATCTCCGGAACAATTTGACATGTAAAGGTGACAGGAAAATTCAAATTGCCGCCCACATCTTCCAATATCTCTGGAGCTTTCACTGAACTGATTAATATTCATATTTTCTTCAAATGGTTCCAGAGATATATCTTTGGAATAAATCTTTAGCAAATATGAGGCGCCATCCAGAATGGCCTTCCTTGAGTGTGAAAAGGGTGCGTCCGAAGATATATCTCCGGAAACTATGGGCAGTGTAGGAAATCCACATGGTGTCTAAGAAACAAATAGGGTGTCTTAAGAAATTCTCAAAGGTAAAGGATATTAGGTCCTATTTCTTTAAGCCTCAGTCTAGAACAATAGTATCCACGCTATCATGGTTCACCACACATGATAATTAAGGAACTTGTTCATTATACTTAATGTAATGATCACTCACTTTATAAAAACTCCAAAATACTCTTAGTGTAGTCTGGATTTCAAAATCCGGACGTATCTATTATACACCATATTGCTTTGTCTAAGTGTCACTCTATTTTTGCCAAAAAAATTTATAGATTTCAATCTTCGGATTAACCTTGTCTGCATATGTATTTTTTTTTGTCTTTTATTATAATGGGAAATAAAGAATTCTGAACTCCAATCTTGGAATTAACTCCATGATAATATTTTACACCCTTAAACAGTAAGTTAGAAGAATTTTGACATTTTTAATAAACTTTACATTATAATTCATTTTCTACAATAAACCATACACATTTGTCATTCAATAATAAGATTAAAATAGAAGAATTATTATGTATATCAAAATGCCAAAATGTTAAATAAAAAATGTCAAAATGTCATAATCAATCCCAAAACAAACCATATTATAAAATATCAAAATATATAAAGCAAAGTACAATTATTGCATATACCTGACATCCATGTTTCCCCTGTGCCGCCTGTACTGCAAAGTATGTCGTGCCTATGTTAAACGACTTATAGATTGGTCATCTGAGGAGTGCCTTCTTCAAACTCGCCTTAGCTGTGGCCTATCTATCAAATTCATTATACGATGACATATCAACAACACATCAACTACATGATTTGCCCTTGTCGGCTCCTCCTCTAAGATCTTTTGACCATGAGGGATCTCCTTCTGCATCTGGTGTCATGTAAGAATGTGACACTCTATAAAACCATTGGATGTAGTTGTATACCATACTTCGTGGACGAGGGATGTGTTGTACCCCAAAATTTGACCGACCTCCCTGGCTTATGTTTTATTTCATTGCATCAGCATAATACATAAGCATTGCATTGCATAGCATTTTTGCATTCCACAGGGGATCAAGAAATGTGTGTCTAACAAAAATTACCAATGGTTCTTAATCTGATCAAGGAGGTTATATTCAAGTCATCAAGTGGTTACCCTTATCAGAGACAAGTCAAGGTCCTTGAAGACAAACAGATAAGCATATGTGGTTGTCATGGGCAGAAAAATCAAAAAAATATATATGTTGCTTCCATCATAAGATTGAACTGAATTGGATAGGTTTTGGTTGGGGTTCATTAAGTAGGAATGAGTGAAGTATATGTCGAAGTCCAGGTTTGACTTAATTCATCAGCAAGAAAGGGATCTATTTTGTTATCAAGGTCATGGTGCATTGATCTAAATGGTGTGTGACTAAAGCCCCAACCAGGGTTATGTGCAGTGTACCGAAGTTCATTTCTCAAGTCATAATATTTTGATTTTTCAAGAAGTGTTCCATGAAGGTTTCAACTCATCACGTTTTCAAATGGCAAACATCAATAATGATTTGACAATTGACTCATGATTAAGTTTGTTCTGTGACTGACTTTAATGCTCAAGGACCAATTCAAAGTATCATCCAGGTTAGGGAAGATTTGAGAGTAGTCTTAATTGAGAACACGCAATTATTTGTGATTTCAATTATGATTGCTTTCTAATCAAGAAATGGAATAAGTCAGGGCATTGCAGATTTATTTCAAAGACTTTTTGTATTACTAAAACCTATGATTCAAGTAATTTGCAAGAGAATCACTAAAGAATCCATTATTTTGTTTCAAGCATATTATTTGAATCCATATACGTTCGTCATAAAATATCGTGACCAATACAAGAAATGTCACACAAAAAAAAAAACCATGGACAATTTAAGCACGTGACACAAAGTACACACATGTGTAGCATATAAAGTAAATCAAGTTTGTGTTTTGATTTACAAAAACAAAAGTTCCTTCTTTTCCTTCTGGGATTCCCTTTTTTCTCTTCATTCTGCCAAAAAGTTACCATGAGAGCCACCAAAATTGTGTTACTTCTGCTTTGGTTCTTTCCAGCTATGTTTTGCACCAATGTGGACTATGATCATAGAACATTGGTCATAGATGGAAAACGCAGGGTCTTGATCTCTGGTTCTATTCATTACCCTGGCAGTACTCCACAGATGTGGCCAGACCTTATTCAGAAATCCAAAGAGGGAGGACTTGATGTCATTAAAACATATGTTATCTGGAACTTACATGAACCTCTTCAAGGCCAGTATGATTTTGATGGTAGGAAGGATTTGGTGAAATTTGCGAAGACAGTGGCTGAAGCTGGTCTATACGTGCATCTCCGCATCGGTCCATACGCTTGTGCTGAATGGAACTATGGTGGTTTCCCTCTCTGGTTTCACTTCATTCCAGGGATTAAGTTCCGAACCGACAATGAGCCATTCAAAACAAAAATGTACAGCTAAATTGCACAGAGGGATCGAATGAAGTTCAAACCCTAAGGCTTTTCTTTGTGTGACTCCAGCAGGGGATCCACTGTCTTCGTCGTAGCCAATCGATACATCTCACAAACTTTTACTATGCCTTGTTGAAGTTGTTTCAGGAGGTCGAGGTGTTTATGATGCGTCACTTAAAATTGGGATCACCACTTGATTTGTCTTTTTGGCACGCTTTAACAGCAAACTCGTCAACGGTGGCGGCATAAAGCAAGCCTCCTTATAAAATGTGTTGCAAAGATTGCACAACAACTGAAGAGAGTGTGTGCCCACCACAAACTCCTTTTCTAGCATATAACCGCAACACAGAACCTGTGGCTATCAGACTGCAACCTGCACAATTCATAAGCCATGTCCAATTTGCAAAACATCATTCGATAGTTCAACCCTGTTAAGAAAAATGGAGATAAAACTGTGAGCATATTCGGACCACATCAAGACCAAGAAGATTTTAGTCAAGTTCACGACCTGCCAAGCGTGTGTGGTAACGGAGTTCTTTCAGTACACACACCTGCATAATCTCCTTTCCATGCCAGCTTTGGGATTTATGTACCTGCCAAGGATGAGGCTATAGTGAAAGGTGGAAATAATAGAAGGAGAAAGGTCTATCGTGTTGCCAGCATTGAGAGTGAAGGAGAGATCACCAGTATATGTTCTGATCCAGAGTCTCAGTCACGCGTGAATGAAACTCAAAATAACAAGGATCCTAATTTATTTGACGATGAAGCTGAAATAGCGGATTTGATGAATAAAGTTGAACACATAAAGAAAATCAGCGGAATATTCTTTTCATAACCGCTCCATGTTCCTGCAAGAATGCACTGCTTGAAGCAACAATAACGCGCCACAAGTTGTCTTGTCTCCGCCAGTTGCAACAGAAGAAGGATACAGATCTGAATAAGAAGACAGCAATGTTGCAAGCTCCTCTCGCAAATCCATTTCACCCCAATTCCGCTACCTGCAAAGTATACTTCACGGCGACGACTTCAATCCGGGCAATACTACCTGTCAAGAGATCACAGTAAATATGCATCAGTAAAAAAAAACTAATATTAATTATTTGTTTTGAATGAAATTTCCTCTGATAATTTTTGAGATGATTGGTGGATTGTCCCTGATTGTATCAGCTACTACAACAAATCGTCGTCACACCCTTCATGATTCACAAAAGCCGCAGAACCTGGCAGAAAAAAATAGTGCACACATGTTAGGCCGGTGCAACAATCTTGACTTAATTGATAACAATGAAGTTTCAAACCACAACACATCAACATCTAACTTGGTAGATTGGCCAGAGTCTGACCACAGATACGACTCACGACCTCGATTCAGTGTCACTTTATTTCGGCGATGTCGATTACTCTGTTCGGTTTTGTGCTACTATGAGTATGTTGCAATTATATTGTTAGCCATAATCTTTCTTGTATGAGTACCGCTACTCCAGGCTTTTCTTTTCGTCGCATCGTGTTTTCAAATCCAACTCAGTTTCGGTTGTTTAGCACAACGGTAGTGGTTGTACAACACAAACAGCTCCCAGCAGCTACGGTAGAGAGGTTATGCTTCTTTTAACTGATGTGATTTCGCCGCATCATAAACCGAAAGCAAAATAGCTGCAACAGAGGAAAAGTTACAGACCCTCCCCATTTTATATGTTCATTTCTCTCGGCTAAGATATATGAGTATAAACAACGTGGATGCTGCTAGAGTTGTCTTAACTGATGGTATCAGAACTTTGCCTCAAAACAAATTGCTTCTGGAGGAATTGATAAAGTTCTCTATGATGCATGGAGGGAAAAACACATGGATGTAATAGATTCAATTATTGCAGGTGCATTATCTCCAAAGTCTGATAGATCTCAAGGTCTGAGTGCAGAGGATGCGGAGGATATATCAAACTTATACCTAGAGTTTGTCGACTATTGTGGAAACATAAATGATGTAAGGAAGGCATTGAATCGACGTATAAGATTATTTCCAGACTCTTCACGAGTAAATTCATGCCAGTACTCAACCAAAAAGTAGAAGGCCACTCAATTTGATCGAAAACAAGAGAGAAGAGACTTCTGTTGCCATGTCTGATGAAGTACCTAGAGATCCTAGTTCTAACTTGCAAGCGCGTTTACCTCAACAAAACAAGAAAATGTCGTCAGAGAAATATTGTGATACTCAGTCTGACGCTGCCAATGATGGATTGGTCTTAATGGAGAATAATACAAATCGGCCTAATGATACAGATTCAGCCTCTCTTCAAATTATGGAGTCAGATGACAAAGCAGAAGATAATGCAAGGGAATTGCCTATCTCAGTTTCCGAAGAGCCAAGAGACAGTCATCCTGAAAGGTATTTGTCGTCTGCAGATTTAGTTGGAGTGAAAGAGGAATCTACCACCAAACTTGAGAGTTAAAAAAAAGATTGTTCTGAATCTGACATTTCATCAGAAAATTTATTGCATCCAACAGCCAGTGGAAATCAACCCTCCCAAGCTTTGCAAGCATCGTCAAATGAAAATTCTGTTTTTCCTCAGGGAAGGTGTGAGCTTGAGACTGAAGAGTTGAAGCCAGTTTCTGTGACAAGTGCGTCACCGAACCCCCAGGTAAGCACATGCCCTGATTCAGGACTAGCAGCATCTCAGGTGGAGTGCGAGACAATTCCAGAAAGCTGCAAGTCAAATACCGCAAATTGGTACAACTCTTCAAGAAGTACTCAAGGTTCTGATTATATCCAAACTCATGATGAGAGAAACAGGCCGAATTCATCATCTCATCTGGACCATAGAACAAAAAGACCACCTTTTCCATCTCGATTTTCTAGAAATAAAGGTGGAAATTGGGGTCCGATGAAAAATAATGGTAAATTCCGTGGAGGTTCTAAATATGATAACCGTGGACGTGGAGGTCCCAGATATGGTAATCGTGTGTATACTCATAGAAAAGAAACACTGGCCTTGATAACGTGCACAAAGTCACAATTCTTAACCCTCCACATGAGGATGTGGACCATGAAAATCAAGCCTTTGACAAGAATGAAGGTTTCATGCAAATCAGATTTGGCCAGTCGAGACATGATCATGAGAAAGAAATAATAAAGTTTTCTTCGGATGAATTATGTATGCCAATATTGCCATGGGTCAATGGAGATGGGACCATCAATAGCATTGTTTTCAAGGGACTTGAACGTCGTGTTCTTGGAATAGTGATGCAGAACCCAGGGATATTGGAGGGGGATATTCTACGTCAGATGCACGTGCTGAATCCACAGAGCTGTAGAACACTTCTGGAATTGATGGCTCTGGATAAACACCTAATTGTGAGGAAAATGTACCAAAGAAAATTTGGCGGAGGCCCCTCCATGCTACAGAATCCTATTGGAAGCAGGTGAGCCTGATCAAATGAAGACTGCTACTCTGAACTGAATGTATTGCGGTTATATGAATCACTGGAGAAAAAATCACATCCAGTTGATCCATGGAAGGAGCCGGGTCATGGATCTTATGAAGCTCGTCTATCATTTCAATCATCAGACACTGCAGTTTCAAACCTTTTTCCAGCTGTTGTAGAATCAAGTCAAGATTTTTGTGCCGCTTATTTTACTTACAGCAGACCGACCTCCAGAGCTGCTGGATTGTGGGGCAAACCAAGCAATTGATCAGTGCAAGATGCCACATTAATACAATAAGTGAGAAAGAAAGTTGGTTGCCAGATTATTATCCGCGTAGATGCAAATTGAAACTGGACTTTTGAGGAAGCTATGAAATTTGGCTCTTTGGCTAAAGATGATAAACCTGCAAAGAAATTAAATGTATCAGTAAAATTGTTGTGATACCACAGTGAAAATGCAGGTTAAAATATATCAGATATTTTCAATTTAAATAAATAAATTCAGGGACATGAAAAAATGAGACAGCAGAAACACATTCACAAAAATGGCAAATACAGAGCAGCTGTAGGCAATTACAGCACCACAGTCTTAGCACAGAAATGGTAATAGGACAGGTTAGTAGCAGACCAAACCTAAAGCCTAAGGTGCAGAGGGTTTCAGGGCCTCAAGAGTTGGTCTGCTAAACCTAATTGACCTCACTATAAAAGCTTAAAGGAAGAGACTACAGAGGGGATACCCTAGCTGCTTTCACTCAAAAAGAACTGAAAAAAGGGAGATTGAGGAAGAAGCTCACCTGTGTTCTGCATCAACAATCTGGTGGTATTATTCTGTAAGTATTCTGTTACTCCTACTGTCTTCATAATCTTGATCTGTTTTGCTTGGTTTGTCTTGTTTCCTAGCATTGAGTATAACAACCCTCACGAATCTCCCATGAACAACAACCCAAAACGCTACCACAAAACTCAAACTCCTTCAACCTACTTCCATTGAAACACCTTCTTCAGATCCAAACAACAAACTCATTAGCTTCAAAACAAACTTCAAAAACCAGATCTTCATCAAACCATAAACACTCCCTCGCAGCAACACAATAACATCCTCCATCAAACTACCCAACTCACCATTTTCGGATCTCTTTCTAAACTTCATCCTTCCGAAAACTCAACCACACAAACAGAAACCCACTAAACCATCCATCAAAATCGAACAAAACTTCCAGAAATCTTCACTTCAACCTAACACCAACAACTCGAAATCCCTTTCACCATTCCGTAACCAAAATCCTCTTCTGCAGTAACTTTCAACTTTCCTTTCTTCATCAAAAAACTTCGAACCTCCGTTAACCTCACAACCACCAAACAACCTTCAGTGGAAGCTCTTCCCCTGTTCACCTTCAAACGTCCTTTCAAACCTTCATCTTCACTACCTAACAGACCTTCATTAACCAACCTCCTTCGAATAATCGTAAACCCCACAAAATCATCACCGAATCAAAAATAGATGAAAAAGATGGTGGAACAAGGAAATGAAGAGAAGATCTGAGATGGGAACACAAAGTAGAACTTAGAAATACGAAAAACCTATCGCCCTAG